AGGCTCTTAAGTCCGGCCTGGCCGTCGTGGTCCAGTGCGGATGCACGCCTAGCTAAGCTATGCTTATAAGGGCGCGGCCCGTTCCGCCGACCCCCTCCCTCGGAGGCCCTGGAGGCGTGTTTTTGGGTGTCAAAAAAATTGAAGTGATTTTTTGCTGCGTTCCTGAGGCTTCCCCCCACGCTACGGAGGGTTTTGGGCACATTTTTCTGGGGCGGCATCATCAGCACAAATGGGCCTTCGTTTCTCACTTTTGGCCACCTGAGCATACCTAGGGTTTTTGGAGGGGTCTCGTCATATGTGTGGTGTCAAGAAGGAAATTGGGGGCCCAAACAGGCCCCATGATGCTCATGATGCCGGCTCTTGGGGGGCTGCAGGGCACTTAAAATGCGCTATAAACCGCAACAAAACGCTCAAAATACACGATGTGGGCAGTTTTTGTGGCTGTAAGCTCCAGTGTTGGTAGGATCTGCACTCTATGACAAGCATGAGACAGGTTTGACGTGCATTACCCAGGCCAAACCCTACAAAATGTGAATGTTGCATGGTTTTTGGGTCACATTTCCAGCCTTTTGTGGCTCCTAAGCAGGCCCCATGATGCTCGTGATGCTGATGATGCTGGCTCTTGGGGGGCTGCTGGGTGCGTAAGAGGCGCTGTAAACCCCAACAAAACGCTCAAAATGCACGCTGTGGGCAATGTTTGTGGTTCAATGACATTTTTGATGGCTCTTCTTAGGCTTTTGACTCCTCCTTGTCTCAATCAAGCCAAAATGGGGTCCCAATTATGCTGATGATGCTTCTGTACGAGGCGCGCGCGCACGCGTCGTATAGGAACATCATCAGCCGTTTTGAGTTAAACTAAAGAGAACAAGAACCTCCAAACCATAAAAAAAAACGGATGGCAAGAATAGCATTTTATCGCGCATAACTCCCGACCAGGAGCATCAGCAGGGCCTGGGTGGGCTTGGTTTGCGCATGATGGCGGGACTTTGGACGGCCAGGCCGGCCAGTGCCGCCAGGCCCCAACCTTGTTTCTGCAAGTTTCTGCAAAGCTCTGCATCCTGCAACACATTTCACAAGCCTCATCTTCTGTAGCTTTGCTCCCACGATGTCACACATGAAAGCAACTGGCAGATTGCTTACACAACTGTGAGGCAGGTCCTGGGCAGTTGCCACTGTGAATCGAGGGTGAGAAAGCATGGCATGGCACACCTGTTTCACTTTGATGTTCCCAATTTGCAGCGCTGTTTTGCTATGAAATCTCTTTTAATTGCAGTTGCAATTAGCACTACGAGGATCGCGACTGCCGATACTTCCCTTGCTGCTACTCCTACTCACACCCCTATTCCTCCCCTGCAGCTGGCCCTGCTGCCGCCGCCGCTGCTGCTGCTCGCGCCGATGACAGTAGTACCACTGGTACTACTAGTAATACTAGCAGCAGCAGGAGCAGCAGCAGCAGTAGTAGTGGTAGTGGCAGCGGTAGTGGTAGCGGTAGTGGTAGTAGTAGTAGTCGTCGTCGTCGTCGTCGTGGTGGTGGTGGTGGTCGTGGTCGTGGTCGTGGTCGTCGTGGTGGTCGTCGCAGCGGTCGTCGTGATGGTCGTCGTGATGGTCGTTGTGATGGTCGTCGTGATGGTCATCATGATGATCGTCGTGATGATCGTCGTGATGATAGTCGTGATGGTCGTCCTGATGATCGTCGTGATGATCGTCGTCGTCGTCGTCCTCGCCGTCGTCGTCCTCGTCGTCGTGGACGTGGACCTGGTCGTGGTCGTGGTCGTCGTCGCAGCATCGCAGCAGCAGCTGCAGCAGCAGCAGCAGCAGCAGCAGCGGCGGCAGCCGCCTGTCTTTAGTAGAAGTAGCGGCAGTCGTCGCAGCAGGGCGACGGCGACGGCAGCAGCAGCAGCGCAAGCAGTCGTCGCTCTAGCACCTGATGCAGCAATGGTAGCACAACGCCGATGATGGTGATGATGATGACGATGATGATGATGATGATGATGAGGCATCAGAATCAAAGCACCAGCGATGCGTTCTTGATGACATGCTTCGACCAACCTCTTCGAAGCCATGCGCTGCACCCAAATGCAGAGCTGTCCAGCCTGAGCTGCGCACGTCTTGCAGCGCATGTGATACTTAAACTCAACAGCTAGAAGGCTTTCCTCGGACCATGACTAATTATTCTCAACTGCGCCACAAGTCCAAGAGGCCTGTGTCCTAACGCCCATTCTGGCTTTTCACGTTGCGTGATAACAAGAGCGTTCTGCTATACCCATGTTCCCACTCTTCCAGTGCATGACAAGAAAAACACCACTGATCAAGACTCACCTCGAGCAGTTCTCGCCGCCACCTGTTGCGAGGCTGCAATGTCTCAAGACCAGCATTACGGCTCTACAGCCCTTCAGACCGAATCAGATGTGCTACGTGTTGCGATGCATGCTCCCTTGCAAAACTCTTGGCAGTGAGAACGATGTGTTGAGGGCCTCAGTGAAGGAAGGGTTGGCAAGGAGCAGCTTGCAGGCGGTTGCGTAGCCTCCAGAAGCCTCAGAAAACGAGAAAGAAAGGAGGAAGGTCTGTCTTCCGTGCAGCACGCAGGGACCGCAGGTGCATGCATAGGGTCCAGGGTACGGTCCTGCTTGGTTTTATGAAGGGTGACAGCTTCGAACATCCTCACTCACCCAAGCATGACCCTTGAGGAACCCCAAAAAAAAGAAGATTCATCGGGCTTTGCTATATGTATTTTGTTAGATGATGTCCGTGCATCGTGAAAATCTCCTATACTCTACAACGCCTGCAAGATTATACAGCTCAGGCCTTACCCAAAGTACATCTGCAAAATCCTACCAAGCATTGGGCTGCCCAGTGGAGTGCCGTCCACCCATCCTGCAAAGCGAAGAATGTCAAGGCAACAGGCAATGTGCAAACGGAAACCAAAGCCAACTTCCCCCCCAATGACTATGGCTTACGACAGGCATTGTGGTACAAGGACCCAACATGAGGGACAGCCAGCTTTGAAAGGATTCTCAGAAGAGGGGTATTTGCAAATCAATGCCTTTCTCAATGACCACGTACGGGTCGTTTGAAAGACTCCCATGTCATGAAAGCACCATAGCAGCACGGGATGCACGATCGCAGTAGCCAGTTTTCAGCAACGGAGAACTGTATAAGCTCCAAGTCACTCCTACCACTCTTGCTCTTGCTGCAAGTTGATAGGAACAGTTTTCCACCATGGCATGACATCCTGGTCACCGTGAAATTAAGGTAAATTAAATGATATCAGTATGCTTCGAGCAACTACCAGCCTTTCAAAAGCCTTAGCAGAAAAGCTGATTACTCTGAAGCCTTACTAGGGTCCTGCATGGAGCAGCCTTTGTCAAGGGACTAAGCCTTAGTGACACCCATTGGGTTGTCACCAAACTTCATGCTACAGCGCACAAGCTCACCTAATTCTGGGAGCTCTGCTAGGCCTCAAAGGGGTGTGTGAAATATCATGGACGGTTGTACCAGTAAGTGCAGTTCTTGCACAGGATGCCGCAGCTGTGATCTATATTCCTGGACTTGTCGTTCTACGCCATTCTACCCATACCTACCCACGCACCTCCAATTTAGTTGGGGGCAGCTTCCTAGACCAAAGCCGCGGTATCTCAATGGAGCTGACATGGGCTTTGTCGACAAACAACTGCTGGTACCGTTAGGGCTCCTAGTTCTGTATTGGGCTTATGATGGGACTACGAGGAAGTCATTTTGCTACTTGGTCAGTTGTCAAAATCCACACTCATTACATCTCATTACAACACAGCCACCAACATCCACAGGATCAGACTTCTGGCCCACACATGAATTCCTGCAGGCCTGCGGAAGATCTAGGCCTGCGCTGTGCGTCAAGTCCCGTTCATCACAGGAAATCCATCTGAAACCCTGAGCCCAAGTTTGGGGAACTCCCATCCAAAAAAACCTCTTGAGGCCTTGTCTCGAGCGCCTTCTGCTATAAACCGAGGATGCTCCAGCAAGGCCTCTCAGCAGTAGCAAGACGAAGGCAAGGGCTTTAATTCAGCTTGAAAACAACAGGGATTTGGGGGAATCGGATGGGGCTGCCAAAGGACGAAAAAGCACGCAGACCCTGATACCTGAACCCTAAACCCTAATACCTAAGCCCCAAACCCTAAAGGAAGTGTAATGGGAAGCCTGGCAGGCTGCAGGGTGCCCCTGCATGGCTGCATGGTGAAGACCTGGCTCTTACCAAGGAAAACATGAGGGGGCTTAAGGAAGGAATGGAAAACAAAATGGAAACTACTATAGGGTCTTTTATCGGACCTTTTCTCCATGGCACGAATGTCCCATAAAGATACTACGAGTATAGGGTTTTAGGGTTTAGGGTTTAAGTTTTTTCGGTGGCTGAACCAAGTAAGATTGCATTCCTTCCTCATATTAAATACTGAGCCCAAAGTGAGGGTATAATCTTACTCTTTATCGGGTACCATAAGACCCCCAACTAAACCACTACTCACGTGGGGTCTTCCTGGTTGCTTGTAGGGAATTCAGAAGTCCCTATAGTAGGCCCTCTCGTCATGCTGTGGTCGTCCCTATACTCCCCTAATAATATCAACGATAGTGCTTGGAATTTCAGGCGTAGTGGTTTGGCTTTCTGTGGGCTTGCTATGGGATTGCTGCATTGGGCTTTGAGCTTCCTGAAGCCCACGTGCTGGGGTTCGTCTTCGGAACTTGACCTGGGATCCATAAGATCCCAGAAGCATTGCAAGAAGAATTGCCGTAGCAGAAGCCTCATTGACTCTTGGTATTGGGGAAACTTAAAAATTTAGCGAGGATAGGCTGCCCCAAGTAGGCACCTGTCTTGTTGAGTCCCAGTCTAATCGACGGGCTTGGCGTTTACCGTGGGCTAGGGTCCCAGTTGAAAAGGCAGTTCACTACACACTCATACGCCAGAAGGCAGTAGGCAGTGGAACACATATCCCCTCTGATGGACCGCAACATGCAGAAAGCAGCACAGCTGCTGCTTTGACTTGCGTGCAAGTAGGTACAATACCAGCCTGTATGCCCATAGTCATCCGCGGCCTTGGACAGTGGCCAGAAACGTGAAGCAAGGATCTTGGGTCTGGGGTGTGATAGGCATGGCAGGATTTAAGATGTAAAGGTCGCAGACGCTTATGGGAGGCGCTCTGCGCGCGGAGTCCTTGAGATTACAAGGAAGACAATCCTCGCAGGGCACCTCAAAACTATCATGGCAAACTTGCTGTGCTTCAACCATGCATCTGGTGAGTGCTCCACAATTCGCGCTCTTTGTCTTTGCCTGCCTCTTGCCAGTCTAGCCCTGTGAGACTTCTGACGGAGGCGGCTTCTTCACGCCGACGCATATGATTTCGGAATCAACAGTCTGCAGACTGTGGAACTGCTTCTAGGAAGGCTATGGACTTGCCTTTTAGACAGGGCTGAAGGGGCGGGTTGCCCTCATGATGGCCTCATCCCAGAAGGGATACGCTGCTTCCTGACAGCTGTGAGTCTAGAATCTAGCAGCCTGCAAGGACGTGGGCATGTGCATACTTACCTTCCTTCTGAGAACTCTAAGCTTGACGGTTCGTAGCTGCAATGCGTTACGCGTTGGAGCTAGATGGCTCTCTACAATCAGTTTGAAAGCCAGGAAGCTGGCGGATACGCCCATGGGCTGAGGACTACAAAGCCCAGCACGGCTTAATAATCAAAGCAATAGCTGCAGCCGCAACCTGACGCCTTCGCTCACGCTGAAAAACAACAGCTAGAATGCCGTCCCAAAAGGAAAGCAAATGTCTTTAAGTGTGCCCGTTACGGTTAGCAGCCAGCGCATGCAGCCCCGGCAAAGTGCACACACCTTTGCGCAAAGCAGTGGCCCCACAAACGCACGCACCCCGACCCCTGCCGCTGCAGTAATCAGAAACCCAACTATGTTTCAAGCACGTTGCGAAAGAAGTGCGAGATTTGTGAAATCTCCGCCTTGGGTGAACATCTCCCGTCTCCCAGCCTGCAAAGGACACTTGTTGAGGGCGATGCTGTCGGAGTGTTTCCTCATGACCTCGGTGCTGTTTGTTTAAGGGCTGCAGGAAGATCTTTGAACCAGAGGTCCCAAACTCCTGTCTCTTTGGGGATTCGGGAGCTCTTCGATGTTTCGGTCAGGAAGTAGCGAACGCGGGATGTGGCGACTATTGTTATGACAGCTTACGCTGGGTCTTTCGAGCTTTAAGAAACAGAACCAATATGTACTGGTGCACCCATCACGCCTTTCTGCTCACAGTTCAGCACCTCAAACGGCTCCCCGCCACACACGAATCGTTTCCTCAAACAATTAGGCTACAAATCTACGGCACCTTCGCTTGCCCCAACCGCAGATTTAACTTTTCATGAGCTTAAGCCCAAAGCACACATGACACACATTCTTGTTCACATCTCATTGCCCAAATCTACCCATCTCGCGGTACTTCTGGAGCCCATCATTGTGAGGCCTTGCTGTATGCTCTGTACACTCTGGCAGCGGTCTGGGGAGTACATCACCGATAAACAATGTCATTTCAAAATAGAAACGAAGTGGCACGTCAACCCAGTCCCACTAGTTGGCAAAGACGGCGCATCAAGAAGCCCAGGGCTCAGGCACCAACCAAAAAGACCATAGAAACAACTGCAAGGAACTCGAGAAGCAAAAATGAGGACCCTCTCCGAGAAAGGGAGTGGGTATGGATGAGTGCAGCAAGGCCCACCACCTCTCCGGCGGCGGACTCAGGCTCTGTCATCTATCGTCGTCAGCCCTTGCCCATCACTTTGCAAGAACCACCCTCGCCCACTTAGCCGTAAGTAACAACTGTAAAAGGTACCGGAAATGAGCCGGACTGTGTCAGAGTAAGCTCCGTGTCACCCCCCAGTACCTTTGCGAGGGGATTCGTATATCGAAAATCGTGGTTTGGCTGCAGACAAGTGGCTTCTGCTGCCTTCCAGACACTCAACAGCTCAAGATGTTCGGACTTCCCACTGGATGCATTCTTGGGCTGCTTGGCGTTTTACACTGCAGGCTGGTCATCATAAGCTCCCGTTGATGCGTGCTGGCACCCAGCCTTGCTTAGGACAATGTCGCAGCCGCCGGGACACTGCAGCATTGAGTTGCCGAAGCTCTTCCGGCCCTGCCCCGAAAACACTTGGAGGCAGGTGTGCGATACTGAAACGAAGACATTCTGGCGGGGAGTCTAGACTAGAAGCAGAGCTCCAACAGTTTTTGCGTGTGGAATTGAGACCTACGGCTCAAGCCGCATGCCATGCATAACAGAAATCAAGCCTGGGAGAACCTCTCAGGCAGCTTGTGCAGACTGGGCTGGTGCCTGCAGCGCTGCCTCGTAGCGTGCTGACAGCTTCTTCACCTGCGCCGCAGCAGCACCAGCAGCAGCAGCAGCAGCAGCAGCAGCAGCAGCAGTCAAGCAGCAGTCAAGCATCAAGTGCGATTGCCAAGCCCACGAAATTCTAAATAACCTATATAACCCATTATAGTAGTTTCCATTTTCTTTTCCATTATCCCTATATAACCCCAATAATATATTCCATAGAGGGCAAATGGAGTTTGATCTACACATATTTCGTATCGGCCAGGCTACTGTTTAAGGTCTGGCAAAGAAGAATAGGAGTAGTTCAAGTAAGATCAAGTAAGTAAGTATGAGTAAATAGGTCCCTACATTACATAATCCCTTTACAAAGCCCGGCATCAGCCCAGTTTCCATGTTACTTTTGCTGTTTGTTGTCCATTTGAAACTGGGGTATATTTCTCTAAACCCTCTCTATCCCTGTACTTGCTGCCACACAGCCCCTACATGTCCCTACAGTATCGAATGTTTGGCCTCCTCTGGGAAGAGGCTGGCCAGGTCCCGTTCCTCTGCCGGGTCCGTCCTCCGTGGCAATAAGGAAGCTGGCCTATAAACCACTATTTCATGACCGTTTGAACTGCTATTCTCTCTTAAAACCACTGTAAATGATTTTCCATGTTATCTTCCCTTTGATTCTCCGTTGTATCTCCTGCCTTCCTCTGATCGCTTCATCGCTGCATTTTCTTTACGCATCTGACGACACAGCATACCAAGGATGCCTCAACTTGACACTGTGATGTGATAGATTCTACAATGGGCATGGCTGGTGGGACTCCTGCTCCCTTCAGGCTTTCTCGTGTTGGGGCCGCTGTCCTGATGTTGAAAAGTTTCCAGCTCCGGGGCAGCATCCAGCCAGTTCCAGCAGCTTGTCCGTCGTTGACGGCCCTGGGCTGATGCGCGAACAAGAAAGGTGTGTCTTCTCTAGTTCCTAGTCCACGCTATCACCCAATGATGCTCATGTAAGATCACTTGGTACTACTAAGGCTCCTCATCGAGTCATGCCTCTATGAAAATGTCTCAAACAGAAACCGCAAACATGCCACGTGCTGTGACATACTCACGGAGTGCGCCTGCAAGCACACATCAAGTCAGCGCGCGATGCAACCGATGAGGCATGGGCAGATATTCCTTGTTGTCGACTGTCCTTACCGGCCATCCTCGGCAGACTTCAAAGATGTGGCGGGAGGATGCTGAAGATGTAAGCTTCGCACTCAACTACTCCGCACTCCACACTATTTGCGTGTGACTTGCCCGCCTGCTTCGTTGCTGACTTTTCAGGATCATTGCCAAGACGCCTCTGCTTCAAAAACATGGCCCCCGAACATTAGGATCCAACCCACAAAGTCTGATCTCGAGATTCCAATGCGTTGAGCCAACACATGTTGCAAACTTACATGAGACTAAGATCCCAAGCGGCCTCTACAGGAGCGAAGCCCGCTTCAAGGAGAACAAAGACGTAAAAAGGAAACCCGTAGGGCCCCAGAGGCGCTTCTTTTGTCCCCTCATTTGTTGATCCAAATGATTGAAGGCAATTACTCTGTTGCAAAGCATCTGAAGCCCTGGACTTCGCCAGTGTACGGACTCTTGCCTGGCAAAAGGCTGGACTTGAAATCAAGCTAAACCATTGTGACTCAAATTGTGGCTTAACAAAGAGAATCATGTTAATGCTTGCAGTCATGGAAACACAAATAGTCATGGCAATGACAACCACAGGTAATGCTGTTCATAAGGTTCTGCAGCACATGTTGCTCAGGAAAGCCTAGAAGCTTCAGTAGTTGCAGTGCTCAACATGATGAGGCCATTGTGTACAAGGAACCCACAAGTTGATCCCTTCCCACAGAAGAGTGACCTCCTGAAGGGGCTAGTACGAGCTTGTAGTCGCCAAAGCCTCATGTGAGGTCTGCGATGTGACTGGTCGGTACACTTAATTATGCACTGCCACCCCGCGGTGCCTCGCGCACACACTGGCACACATAGTCTGAAAAATTGAATGACTGTGTGGTGGCGATACACTGTAGTGCTCTAGATCAAGCCAAACATCCAACAAAAAAAGAATAAAAATGAGCCATGTGGCGGATGGCTGCACCTCGCCCAGAGACGTTCGAGATGAACTCCTTTGCAGCCAGCACGCTTGAGGGGCAATGGGCATTAATCAAAGCATGGCACCCCAAACATCACGATCCCAACCAATAGGACCCCAGAAGGCACACCCTCTTTCTACCAAAGTTCCCGACATGGTCTCAACGCATGTTGGGGGATCCAGAACATGTGCATATTCGCTGCTGGACTGTCCCCAACCAGAAGCCCCGCACACAACCCATTGGCGTTTATCCTATGACGTCAGCAGCAGGGCTGCAGCGTCTGGTATGCTCGGGATCCAGAGTGTTGGCAACACACACATGCATCACATCCTAGCGAAACAGCTGAGGTGGGTTCTGTCCGTGGAGACGGAGCATCTCGTAGCAAGGCATTCCACATGCTCTCGCCGTCCAAGTCATTGGGTGCTTTGCGGCCTTGCGAATGATGTGCCCACTGCGCTGGGAGGGGTGGGCACAGTACCAGCAACCCAGGAAGCAAATTTTGGAAAATGGAAGCACCGTACTCAAATGTCAGACCACTGGATGAGGTGTGCTGGCGTTGTTGAGCCGCGTGCTCTCTGGGCTGGCATGAGCCAGCTGCAGG